ATATGGGCACTTTGGAGCATTTACCCTACAGGAAAAATATTAAGGATTAAATTGCAGCAACAGCAGAAGAATAGGGAAAGTCAGAGAAAACCAAGTATACTAAAACTTGAGGTCTGCAGTGGCCTGAGGTAGAAGATGAAAGTCAAAGAAGAGTGAGAGATGAATACTTCAAAGCAGTTCAAGACACAAGTAGCAAAAGTCAAGGGGAAGCTAAGATGCAGCTAACAAAAGACATCAAGGTTAATAAGAAATCACTGCAAACATAGTATGTATTAGTGTAAAGAAGGTAAAAGAAAAGGAATTGTCCCACCGTGGAGGAAGAATGTACTAAGAAAAGAAATGGAAGAAGCAATACTTTTAAAACCTATGTACCAATCATTAATGGCATATAGGTGGTTAGCTCAGTTATCACAGCAATGACAAGAAAAAAGAAAGTGCTTAGATAAGACTTTGTCTGTAATGACTCGATTTTGTAAATTTTGTAAAATTTGATTGTTGTAATCATCTTATGAACTCTGCCCTGAATATTCACAGAATTGTCTGAAAGGGTCTCAGAATTGTTAGCCATTGCTTTTGAGAAACTGTACAGAACAAGTGGCTACCAGATGACTGTAAAAAAAAAAAAAGCAAATGAAAAGGTCTCTTTTAAAAAGGGACCTTCAAAAAAGTGTGTTGAAAAAGGATCAGAAAATGAAACTCGTTTTGTTCTACTCTCAATTTCCAGAAAACACAGCGACAGGGAATTCAGCACACTATGTCTAAGTATCTGGAAGGTACCAAAAAGATGCAGTTCCTATCAAGCCAAAATCCTTTGTGTTGAGGAAGTAATTCTTCTGCTCTGTTCAATGGTATTCTAGTGTTCTAGACATTGACAACAAAAAACCATGTAGCCAGATTTGAAAGATTCAATGGGATAATAAGAGATCTCAAAACCATGGTATAAGATTAAAAGACCAAGGTCATATGGTAATGAACGAATCACAGGGAGGAAATATAGAGTGGGATTACAATAGTTTCCAATATGGAAAAAACTGCTGAACGGAGGAAGATAGTAATTTGTTCTTCATGCTTTTAGTGAATAGGAGTCACCATAAAGTATAAGCTTAAATTGCAGCAAGATTAGCTTTTTTCAAGTATTGGAAACCTCTTCTGAAGTTAGACAAGCTAAACTTGCTGACATAGATTAGTGTGGAATTTCTGCCACTGACAGACCCCATCAATGGTGACTCTGTGGTCTAAAAATAGATTTAGATCGACAAGTACCAGCAGTGACAAGGTATATCTGGTTTTGCTTGTGGGCAATGGGATATCTAGATGTTCCTATGGGATTCCCTTCAACATAAATTTTTAAAACTATTTTAACTGCAAGGACTGTGTTATTATATTTGAATGAACTTAACTCCATGCTTTAATGCCTTAAGTGAACACATTCTTCATTTGCAGGAGGTGAGTAAAGCACTTTTGCAGACACAACGTTCAGGGAATAAATTTCTTTCTATTTCCTAGTAATTTCTCAGCATGTTTCTTCTGTTTCATGATTAACCTATATGTACAAACTTTTCTTTCAATATATCTCTTGGTGCTTATTTTGCATAATTCCAACACCTTTTCATATAACATACAGAAGTGTACACAAAATACATATTTAAATGTATACTGCCTCTTTTTTCATCTCTCCATCCTTTTCCTTGTGCAACATCCAGATTGCCTACACCAATCTTGTAACCTACAAGTATATTACCAGCTACACCATCTTCCTTGCTACCTCCCTGTAGGATCCATCAGCTAGTTAGAGGTAAAGCAACGTGAATATTTATGATTCTAAATTATTAAGTCCTAATATCTGAAAATTTTATATTACTAAAAACTAAAAAAAAGATAATATTTTAAAATCAAGAAGACAGACATTTTTATTAATAACAGCAGTGCTTCCTGACTGGACAGTGATGAAAAGAGCTATGAGGCAGTTTCTAAACTCTAAGTTTAAAATGATGTACCTGTTACCATTAGTATTATTCTCTTATCACTGATTCCTTGTCACATCTTAAAGATGCTACCGTAAGGCACCTAAGGATGTAAGAATATAGATATATTTTCTGTGAGAAATGTCTGTACATTTAAAGTAAAGGAAAGAATATTTCTCAAGATACACATGTCTAATCTTTGAAGAGAAGTGAAATGATCAGGGAAAAAAAGAATACTTCTTAGTTTTGTATCTTCAAAATGCCATTTCAATCAAGTATCATTTTTTTTGTGCTTGAATAAATGGAATTACCAACTTGTGTAAAGTCCTTGATCAGAATGAGGCTCTTAAACCAATTATGTGGAGATCAGAGTGCTTAAAATTATAAGGAATACATTTAGAATTATTAAAGGCTTCAAATAGCTTGGTTCAGGCAAAATTACATATAATTGATCATTAGTATGTGTTGTCAGTGGAAACTGCAGTCATAGGTGTTGAAGATCACTTTTTAGACAAATTGCAGTGAAACTTTTGTAAAACCCAAACCACAGCAGAGCATCCTTTTCTACGGATTTTTACTGAATGCAAATCCTAGCCACTTCTATTCCTCTTCTAAGTATGGAAAGATGCACCATGAGTTAAAAGTACTAACTAATATTACCTGGATGAAAATGTCAAACACAGATGAAGCAAAACCAAAATAAATTACCTTGATTGCTAGGTAACTGAAAACACAAATTCAGAATTGGGACTCTGTTAAAAAAGTAATTCTTAAAAAAAATATTAGCTTTATAGAGAAATTTCTTCTTTGCCAAATGGCAATGCAATTTGCAAAAAATTAAGACTGACAAATACAAACTGGATTGTCAGAGAATGATTGTATAAAGGACTGACTCTATAACCCACTCTGAGAATGACTGTTTTATTGATTCTTATTTGGCCTCTGTACAGTTCCTCTATCCCTTTGCTTTGTATTTTATGATTCTTTTATTACAGAATATAACATCATTCTGGATAGGTAGCATTTTCAGAGATAGGCACATAACTTCTAATCTGGCAATCATCCTCTGTATCTGTCAGACTGGTGACAGGATTTTCATTGATTTTAGTGATACAGGTTTAGAAAAAAAATGGCATGTATTATGTACTGTATGATGCAGATTAGTGGATTTAATTAATCCTTTACTATATGTGTGTAGTTACAGTTTACAACCAAAATCAAAACTTTCTGAAATCAGTCACAATCTCATAATCATATCTCTTTTTGCATGAAGTGTCATTTTTCTGCTTATCGGATCTGAGAATCTCTTGATGGACTTTTCCTTAGTTCCTAGTCTGAAAGTAAATAACTTTTTTTACCACAGAAAACACTTTCAGCTACTACACTAGGAATGTTCTCTTAACATACTTGGCAATCTCGTGGTGGGTTAGTTTTGGCTAACAGCCAAATGTTCACCCATCTGCTCACAGCTCTATCCCTTGTAAGACAAGTATAGGAAGAACTGGAATGAGAAAGCTCATGGGTTAACATGAAAGCAGGAATACTGTTTACCAATTACTGTTGCTGACAAAACAAACTTTACTGGGAGGTTAATTTCTTGCCAATTACAATAAAAGCATAATAGCTAATTTGAGTAGTGGGAAACAAGATGATGCACGTTAAAACAACACCTTTTCTCCCCCATTTCCCCAGGCTCAACCTCATTCCACACTCTCCTTCCTGACCAGCACAGGGGGAATTGAGGGAGCATACAGTCAGTATGTAACAGTTTCTGCTCACTGCTCCCTTCTTCTCACACGTTTACTCTGCTCAGGCATGGCTTTTCCATGGCTGCAGTCCTTCATGAAAACCTGCTCTGGTGTGGGCTTGCCACAGTTCCTTTGGGTCTATCCATTTGCCCTGGCACGGGTCTTCCAAGGTCTGCAGTGCTCTTGCCATGGAGAGCGCTGCCTCCTCACTCTCTGACCTTGGTGTTCCCTGTTTTTTCTTACCGTTTCTGTTCACACCTTCTCTCTCCACGCAGCATTTTCTGCCCTTTCTTAGCTATGCTTTCAGAGAGGCACCACTAGCGCTGCTGAAGGGCTTAGCTGAGGCCGGCACTGTCTCCACTGTGGAGCTGGCAGGAATCAGCTGTTCCCAAGCCGGGGGAGCCCCACACCTCTTCCCACCTTTCAGTCCCTGTCCCACTCCCTCTACCGAAACCTTGCAACACGCAGCTAATACAAACCTAAAAAGCAGAGTGCTACTCAAGTCTAGGGAACAAAGCTAACATTACAAAATTAGATGAATTAGGTCAACAGGATAGCAGATGGAACTCAAAATTAAATATGGAGTCAGCTATGCTGAAAAGGTAATTGAACTATTTATGCACCTTGCTCATTCCTAAATTAAATTTAACTAATTCGGGAAAGGAACCAGATGTCAGTGAAGGCTTTGAGTTAACATATAGTTGCTGTTTAAAAGACAGAAGCCAGAAAGAGAGCAGAGTACACGATCCTTACAAAATGGGTAACACGGGCAGGCGGCACCGCATGTGCCTCCGGCAGCGCTCAGAGACGACCTGCGAGCTTGCGTCTCTCCTTGCCCCGAAGGCGCGGGAAGTTCTATCTTAAAGTTCTATCTTAACGTGACTGCGAGTTTTGAAAGATCGTGTCCATCTAAGGATTTGCGCAGACCCAACTCAGGGTACGAGGTGCCAACGCAGCTGCAGAGAAGTGCCGGCGGCCTCCACCCCCACCCGGAGGGGCCGCCGGCACAGCGCGGCTCCTGTGGGGTCAGGAGGGGCGCGGCAAGGCTCGGGCCCTGCGGGCGGCCCCGCCGCCGCTCCCGGCTGCCCGGAACGCTCCGCTCCGGACGGGGCTCGGCGGGAGCGCGCCCGTCCCGGTGCGGCGGCGGCGCGCGGGGCGGGGGCGGGGCGGGGCGAGGGGCGGGCGGCGCGCGCGGCGCGCGAGCAGGAGCGGGGCGGCCGGGCGGCCGCAGACGGCGGCGCGTGCGGGGAGGGAGCGGGAGAGCGCGCGGGGCCGCCTTTCCGGCGCGGCGAGGAGCGCGGGTGCGGGGCGCGCAGCAAGGTGACGGACCGGGCAGCCTCCCCTCCATCCACTCCCCTCCCCGCCTCGCGTTCAGGTGGGCCAGGGGGCCTGCGGCGGGCGGCTGTCCCGGCAGCCCCCGGCTGGGGCTCGGCTCCCCAGTGGGTAACCCCCGTGCCCGTGTCTCCTCTCGCCCAGATGCTCTCGGCGGCAGCCTTGGTGTGCGTGTGTGCAGCAGCCTGGTGCAGCCCGGCGGCGGCGGCGGCGGCCGGGGGCAGACCGGACAGCGGCAATTTTCTGGACGATAAACAATGGCTCACGACCATCTCCCAGTACGACAAGGAGGTCGGGCAGTGGAACAAATTCCGAGACGTAAGTTGAGCCCTTCCACCCTGCCAGCCGGCTGCCGCGCCCGGCCCGCTCCCGCTGGTTCCGTTCGGGGAGGGCATCTCTTGGGCAGCGGGGGCTGGGGTGCAGCCTCAACTTGCCCCGTTCTCCCGGAATCCTAATTCTCATTTTAATTCCCGGCGGCGCCTCGGCAGGGAGGAGGGAGGTCCCGGCGGGCAGTTCCCGGTGCGCTGCCGCCGCTGAGCGGCGCGGACCGCGCGGTGTGCCCCGGGCCGTGCGGGGCGCACAGCCCGCACCTCCGGGCCCAGTGGGTCGGGCCGCGGGAGCACCTTTCCGCCCTGCGGGTCGCCAAGTGGCGGAGGGGGAGTCGCGTTTGCCTCTCTCCTCCCCGTTTCCCGCCCCGCTGCGGGAGCGGCGGGGGCTGCGGAGAGGGCTGCGGTGGGGGCACCGGGCCGGGCCGGGGGCAGGGGCTCTCCCCGCCGCTCCGCCGGTGCCGCCCGGGGCAGAGTCCCCCTCCCTCTCTTCCCGGGCACCTGGAGCGGGCGCCGGGCGGCACTGCCGCGTCTCCGTGCTGCTGTCAAAGTACCGGCAGGGCGGGCGGGGGAGAAGGGACAGCGCTCACAGCCGGGGGTGTGCGGGGAGCGCGGCCCGTGTCCGAGAGGTGCGGGCGTCAGGCGGGGAGAGTGTGCGCGGAGCGTCCGGACCGCCTTCCTCGGAGCCCCTGAGCACCAGCCCCAGCCTGACCCGAATCCCATCAGTTACGAAACCTGCCGCTCTAAGGTGGCTCTGTCCTCCAGCGTGCTTCGACTGTGCTTCTAGTTCGGTCTCTGTTTGCTGCAAGTTCAGTGAAAGACAGTCAATTTTCGCAAGTCTTTCACATTTCTTTAAGTGGAAAAGATTTTTCTTTGATCATCCAGTATCCTGCATCCTTTGGTGTCGCTTTTAAAAATTTGAATTCCAACCTTGTAAAATAATTTTCAGTTTTATTTACTGTCTTGCCTGCTGAATTTCTTTGATATGGAGTAAAACCTTGATTTGGTTTGCAGCTTAAAAGGCAACAGGTTTCTCCTTGTGCTGCAGCTTGCTCGTGACTGTGGTTTGCAGTAGTGAACTGAAGTAAATCTCTCCAAGAAGTCTCTTATTTTCTGAGACCTGGAGTGACTTGTGATGCATTAATTTTCTAGCCTTATGTCTGTGTTGCATGTTGGATGCAAACTTGGCTATTTATGTTAAACAGCTAGGAAAGAAGAGCTACTGTTAGCATTGTGGGAGAACTAATTTTCCTGATAGTTTTTATTAAACAGCATAATTTTAGTGTTGTGAATACTCCAATTAGTAGTCAGATATTTTTGGTTCCCTTGAATACCTTAAAAGAACTTATGTTCATGTGAAAAATAGCTGTTTAGTGTGCTGTGAATTGGTACCTGTGATTTTGGAAAAAAACCCCAAACCAACATACAGGGCTATATAAATGTCTTAGGATTAAAGGCTACTGCTAGAAAGCTCCAGACTAAGTGCATCAGTTATGTTTTATAGTTGGGCAAAGTCATTTATGTAAGGACTACCCTGCAAGGCTGAGGAAGCTAAGTGCTCTCTAATGCCTGTCTCCTGGGTGCCTACTGACATGTACTGTAATATTGGATATTAGCCAGATAATTTATTCTGTGACAAGTAGGTGTTCTCAAGGGTTTTAAGAGTGACTGCTTTGAGGAAGTACTGCATACTGATTCTTCTGAGGTAATTTACAAATATGCTGGCTTATTTATTTTTGCACTGTTTAAGTTTTATAAGGCTGGTACTTCAGTGATGAATATGCTTTTATTTTTTGTGCAGAATGTTTATGTCCTATTTATTGGTACTTGATCTGGAATATTTATGGATGGTCCTGATACTTCACTGTAATTTGTTGGGTTTGAATTTGTGATTAGCAAATTAGTGATTCAGATGTGGTCTTCTGTTAAGAAACAGGACAACAGCATTTTAAACATATGTAGGGGTAACTGTCTTGCAGAGTTAAAATCAAAATAAAGGTATGCAAGGCCTGTGTTTGTAATTTAATTCTCTGATCAGAGTAGGGTATTTTTTGCAGTCTTTAAATACCCTACAGATGTAAGGGTAACATGGAATTCTGGTGTGAAAAGAAGTATTTAAAGGCTTAACTTAAGACTTAACTGACAGGACTGATTAATGTGAAAGATAATGACCCTGACTTCTGGCTCATTGGCTCAGTTTCTTAAGAGTTTTAGATCGCAGTGAGAAAGAACACAGTTATTCAGAATGAGAGCCCTCACAGAACCGAATAAACCCGGATGTGATGTTTTATTTATAAAAACCCCAAAACCAAACCAAACCTCAAACCTAGCTCTCTTAACAATTGTCTAAAATGTCGGTTTTGTCAATGTGTTATTAACTTGAGAATATTAGCTAAGATCTTTTCAGTACTTTTTATAGGCAGAACTGTAACTGACTCTTCAATTCTCTTTAAAGGTCTTGACCATTCTGACACATCTGTTGAAAATAATGAAATAGGTCTGTGCCTTAACGTGTAACAGTGGGAATGTTAGAGACTACTTCCTCACATCTTTTTCCTGTGCAAAAATTGAGACTGATCTCATTTTTGAATATGCGACTTCCCATCTTAAAGATGGAGGGAGGAAAGTGTATTCTTGATATGTCCAATATCAACTCCCTGAAGATATATGTACAAGTCAAACGTTTGGAGTTGTATATATACAAGCGTATGTTTACTTTTTGCCAAAAGTAGCTAGGGAGGAAGAGTTTTTAACCCACTCTTAATGCTGCTGTAGTCCAGTTGCTGAGTAGCTGCAGCTATTAACATCTGCCACTAAAATAAGTCTCAGGGTTGATATGTTTATTAGGGTTTTCCAAGCTGCTTGGTTAGGCTGCTTCAGCAGCCAGTGGTGTCACAATGTTGGGAGGTCCTGTCCCATGTGTATGTATTTTATGTTTATTTCAGACTTGGGAACTGGGGCTTTTCAGTAGATGCTGTTAAGGGAATCTTCTTCATTCATATTTTGTTATATTTATAATACTTTGTGTTAATGGTCTGATCTATTATGATTGCACTAAACATTTGATAAAATTATATATATATATATATATATAAACCGTGGTTTGTCTGAAATACAGGTTTTTCTTTTAAAAAATGTGATCGGGTAATGGCATTACATTTATACTTTCCTACTTAGAACATCCTGAATCTTATCTGGGAAACCTTCATTACTTGTAATGCTGTAAATCTGTGGAGCAGAACAAAATATAGGAATTATTCTTTATTCTCTTTCTGACTTGTTTCCAAATAGCGGTGGTATTTTTAATCCTAGAGCAAAACACAATGTCTTTGTCATTTATAATCACTTTTTCTATTTATGTGATCATTACAGTCAGTCGGACAAAATTGCATACAACTGTCTGTCGTATGCCTATTTGAAAGTCTTTCAGACTTCTCAGAAATTTTAATTTTTATGTCTTCAAAATTCCATGAAGCAACATTCAATAGACTAACGCATTTTAGTAACTAGTATTTGTAAGCAGTGTCTTGTGCATTTGTGTTCATGAAAAAGGCTGTATTTTATATGGTAAATTTTATTTGCTGCTTTAAGAGTTATTTAGGATTTAACTTGCCTCTTAGTGGTTTGTTCTTTTTCTTCTCAAAGAAATAATAATTTAAGTGATTCCTGTATTTGCAAATTTAAAATGATAAATAAACTCCTCAGCTCAAGTATGGCATAGTGTTTTTATGAAATAATGTGATCGGTTGATCATTGTAATAATTTGCATTGTAACAGTGTTTTAACTATCATCCTACCATGTTAATACACTTATCAAAGGTAAAGATGGTAGAAGAAAATTTAAGTAACAGACCTTAGACCGATCATCTATGAAGAGAAAGTTTACACTGGTAATACTCCCTTTTAATCTTCTTCGCTGGAAGTGTTCTCACATTGACCATGAAATGTATTGCCTTCTACAACATGTGACAAGTTTGGGCAGCTCATGTTGGCTCCTCAGATGAGTCTTTTGTAAATATATAAAGAATAAGTTTTTTCAACATTAGCAAAAACCTCTGTGTTTAGAAAAGAGATGAATCAAATACTACGTCCAATTCAGTAATATCCAGCATTCATTATTCTTTTATCTGTTTTGGAGGTTTAAGGCTTCTCAAAAATACCGCCCTCATACCGCCCCTCAACTAAGCTCCCCGCCAACTGTACATTATTGTTGTGAGCAGAACATCTCTGCCCTGCTGTGGATCACAACTACATTTCTGTACAACTTAGAGAGCCAAAGGCGGTTTTAAAAAGGATTCATCACAAGTTCTTTGCACTTCACTGTGTGATTACTTTGTAAATATTTGGAAGGTTCTCATGTTTCTATGTTTTCGTTTCCAGAGTGGAAACATGAATATGTTATAAATTATATATATATGTAAAAATATATAAAAGTTCTGTAAATAACTTTGTTTGAAGAGGAGAAGGACTTCAGCAAGAATAGAAGAGGGCAAGAAGCCCTCCTCATTTATGGAGAATCCTGAATGTACTTTAGAGGATATTGACAATTTTGTATTGGATAGTGCAGCACTCATCATCTTTCCTCACTCATGTTAGCATTTCATTAAGTTAATGAAAATCAGTCTGGTAGGCTTATTTGTCCTGTACATTTTGTGGTTCAGGGTAAGAAAAAAACCCATACCTTTTTCCTTTTTAGTGGCTACAACAGCTCTAGCAGCTCTTTTACTACATACGTTATGATTATGAAAACAGGAAAAAATAGAATTTCAAGACATGAAAGATTAACTTCTTTATGTTGTCTTAGGCCTAAGTTAAAGCAAAAACTTGTAATAAGTTAGTTACTTCTTCAAATGGGGTATTGAATCTTTTCTGTATGCCAGTGCAGCAGTTGAAACTTACTGGCACCTCTAATGTGGTTTCAGTCATTTTTGTTCATGACTTATTTTGTGGAAAAAATTTTAAGCCTAGGAGATCTGACAGAAAGAATAAGTA